GGCAACATTTCGTTCATTTCAGAGCTAAGCTGCGTTGAGGTCCTGTTGAAGGGAAAGCAAGCGTGGGATTATGCAGGATATACAAAGAGTTAACTATCATAGCTCAACATTACATCATACCAGGCCTCGCAAAGTATGCAATAGAATTTTTTGCAAAAGACAATAGAAATTAGCATAGACACGAACCAATTAGAATATCAGATTATTATAGATTTAGCAAAACTGTCGAAAGTGTGACATTTTTAAAAACCTTATTTCGAATATCTTATCTTTTGATCTCAGACTCGTAGATTGTATTTTCCGAAATATTCCAATCATAAACTCTGTGATTAGCTCGGGTAAATATCGTCTGATTTTAGAATGTTATGTCTTTATGGACTCGAGGCGATCGATAGAATTGGCAAGCAGTTTCTTTCCAAATTTGATCAAAGTTTTAAAATTAGATATTGCTAGTGACAGTCGATAAGAATGATCTAAAATCGGAAAATCGGCCTCTGATTTACTAACTTATGCTCATTTAAATGTTCCAAAAACAATTTTAATATTAATATCTGAAAGAAATTCATGTTCTAGTATTTTTGGAGCTATTAAATAACTCCCTCTTCAATTTGAGTTGAGAATTCTCTACTGCATACGCACATTGATTGCATTAGTCGAACTAAATTAAACAGTTTTCGAAAAGATATCACAGACAACTTATGTTTACCAGCCGACGGCTGTAATTCGTGAAATGTATCTGGTAATAGCTGGAAATTAAATTGGCTCAATGGGAAAATCACTGCAATTGTTCGTTGCTGCATTTTATTTCAGTTCGTTTTGCATAGATTTTCCGTGCAATTAAAAATTTGCGCTGTGGCGGCGCATAAATGCAAATTGTTCGCGGCAAATTGTGTTAATGCATAATTCTTTATAAATGTTTGCAATATTCGTTTGCCAAATGCAAGCAGATATAAAAATTAGCACGCACACCCACACACCCACCCTCACACTCACACACACACACACACACAGCCTTACACACACGAGAGTCATAAAAATGCAACATTGTAATGGCAGAAGAAATATTCTTTAAAAAAAAAACTCCACGAATCGTAAATACCCTAAATTGCCATGATATGATATACCTTTTCCGAAATTAGTTTACTTTTATTTACTATAAATAAATACTGCATTTAAAATTGCAGACATTTGGGTCGTATTCATCCCTTTTTACATGCTTGCAACAAGTTGAAAATTTTAACATATTGTTCAAAGTCTCCAAAGGGTGCATAAAATGTGAACATATTTGTAAAGTTTCCTTTTGAGTGTGGCCAATTCGACTCATAAGCCATATTACCCAATTGCTGCTTAGGGTATATGAAAAGTTGCGAACGGGAAATTAAGCGCATTTAGCATGGACTCAAACCCGTGGGGCTGACGCTGTGGGCGCGGCAGGAGGCGCTGCTGCTTTATGTAAATTTCTGTCTGTCTGCCTGCCTGATAGGATGTGTGCGAGTGTGTGTGTGAGTGTGAGTTTGTGTGTGTGTGTTTCAATTTAAGCGCTGCGGCATTCGCCGTTTGTCGGCATTTCCAACAGCTACCTGTATTTAAAGCCTGCCACGCCCGCTCTCTTTTGTAGGTGTGTATGGGAATTAATTATGCAGGCGTATCATGGCAAACATCATTGCCGCCCCTCCTTCTGACTCCTGCCCGTCTCCGCGTTGTGCATGCATTCACAACCTTTGCACATTCACACACACACACACACACACACACATACGTGCACAGGCAACCCCCCTAACCCCCTCCCCGGCGCACCCAGCTGTGTGCGTGTGCGGTTTTAATTTCGAGGCGCGTCTGCAATGCGTTGCACTGATCCTTTTCCCTGTCGGCTGCCACGCCCCACTTGCATATTGCCGCCCCCAAGTGCTGGCAGTTTTCGGTGTGTTTGCATTTCGTCCGTGTGATTTCACTTGCCAAATTGATCGGATTCCCGATACGCACACAGAGGACTCAAGCTCTCAATTGCCGCACTTTTATTGATTACATTAATTGTCCATCTCTTGCCCTCCCGCTCCCACTCCCGCTCATTCTCTCTCCCTCTCTCTCTCTCTCTCTTGCTGTGTTTAATTTCCCTGTTTAACTGCGGCTGCTTTGCCTTTCGCCTTGGCCACTTGGCCGCTAGGGGGCGCCAGCACCGTTTTCCCTTTTGGGCGCTGTCTGCTTATAAATTCTATAAATTTTAGATCATAATCCTCATACCGCACGTCGTCTCATCTGTGTGAGTGTGTGAAAACTACGTGTGCTGCGTGTTTTTTGTTATCCTCATTGCGGTTTCTGTGTGTGTGTGTGTGTGTGTGCGTGTGTGTGTGTGTGCCATTTGTTATGCATTTTCATTAGAACTGCTCAGCCATTATCGTTATCAAGGCAGCAAGTGCTAAAAACAGCGTGAAAGATTATCGCACACATAATGTTGATTGTTATGTCCGTATTTAATGACAGGCGGCTGCAAGCTCAACAAACAATTGACAGTAGGCATTCGTACAAAAAGTATAACAGCCCAAAATCGGACGGAGTTTACCTGAGATATTTACAACAATGTTTAAAAAAGCCAAAAAATGTACGAATTTCAGAGTTTTATATCCTTTTGACTCGTACGCACCAATACCATCGATTAGTATTAAAAAATTCAAATTCTAAATTTTTGTCCAAATTCAACAAAATAACAAGGGGTTTTTTGTTTCACGTTTTTTGTAAAAATCGGGTACTGTCCTGACGAGTCCTGTGTCAAACAGCTCGCATCTGAACAGGGACTGTAATCTGCCCGAATGACATCAAAATCGTCCTTTTAAAGGACATTAAATTGGCCAATTTAAGGACTATTCTGATAACCTTTGGACAACATGCTGGCCTTGCCCTGACTTTTTAGAATATGTCAGAAAAAAGGACGAAAATCCTTCAAGGAGCTGAGGAGAAGAGATTTTTGTCTGTAAAGATAAAAGGCTGTAGATCGGCCGTATCCTTGCCGATCATGATGTCCTTTGGCCAGTCGTTAGTCCTCATCATCCCAATTCAGAATATATAATGAAAAGGACGAAGGTCCTTTATACAACCTAGATATGCGTACAATTCTTTCGTAAATTAACTAAGCCACTACTTGGTCGTATCCTTGCAGATCCTGACGAATCTTATGTCAAACGAATCGTATGGACAAGGACCTCAAACTGGCCAAAGGACATCAAAATCGTCCTTGCCGTTTCAGAGATATGGCCAATTTTCTAAAAAGGACATTTTTCAATTAGCCATAACTCGGCCAAATCCTTAAGGATATCGGAAGGATATACCTTGTTGAACTCGTGGAGAGCAGGACTATCGATTGGCATTCAAGGATTTCCAAGATTCGACAAAAAATTTCACCAACATTTTTCATAGGGGGTAAGTCGCAAAATTGGCAAAAGTCGAAAAAATCGGGACTAACTTCGCCATTTGAAGGACTATCGGAATGTCCTTTGAACTGTAGATAGTGCTCGACCTCCCATTAAAGAAAAAACAACAAAAAGGACGATAGTCCTTCAAACGGCGAAGTTTTAAGGACGATTTTTGCAAGAGAAAATAGGCCATAACTCGGCCATATCCTGGCATATCCTGTCAAGTCCTATGTCAAAAAAATTGTATTGACCAGGACTACAAACTGGCCAAATTTCATTAAGATCGTCCTTGTAGTTTTGGAGATATTCAAGGATTTGTGTTTTCGGGCCATTTCCGTGCACTTCGGGAATAAAAATTTCACAAGTAAAAATACAAGTCCCTGGGTTCTTAGATGACCCCATATTTTTTTGATGCAGATCGATGCAGGGGGTCTATACGATCCTAACGCACCATGTCCTTTGAAAATCTGCAAGGATATGGCCGAGTTATGTCCTTTTTTCTGCCTTTATATTTTTTTCGCTCTTTTCAATTTAAATGTGTTTTTATCCTTTCAGACTGACAAATTAAGGACTACAATGATCTTTAAGGACCTCCACGACTGACAAAGCGAAATTTTCCAGGATTCGACTTTAATTAAGCCAGATATACTTATTTTAAGTTTAAATAAGCTCAAATTATAATTTATGCTCGATTTTTATGATTTTAAGAGAAATAATTAAGAAAATGAGGGAAAAAACAACCATTTTGTAAATAAATCATTTATTTAAACGAAATTCCTGTTTTTTTATTTAAAAATTCACAAAGAAAAAAATTTCGTTGCATATCCAAAAGGGGCATCTGTGGGCAGCCGAGATTTTTCTTAAAATCTGCCAAAATACCAGGCGAACATAAATGCCCAGAAGGTCGACAAAAAATATTTTTAGCTACCGAAAAATTTCATTGCATACCCAAAAGGGGCGCCCTTGCCGCCGGCCGGGTCCCAAATTTGCCCTAAAATTCCACTCAAATACCAGGCGAACAGAAATGCCCAGGAGGTCGATGAGTGGTTTTTATAAAAATTTTCATAGCATAGCACAAAGGGGCAAAAATGTAACTCAATTAAAATGAGTGCTTTTAACTAGCAGTTCATGTTAAATGAGCACTGTAAGCCGGCTATTAAGCAACAGCTGCAGCTGCAGCTCATGTAAAAGGGCTCCTGAAAGAAAAAGCATACATATTTTTGGACCATTCCCATGCACATTTTGCAGGGATCTGATCCTTTAGGTTCCCAAGGACTATATCGATGGTATGGTATAACCAAGGATATGCTAGTCAACTAGAAACCATCCAGGCATCTTGCTGGGGGCGGCTGTAAAAGAAAAGCATACATATTTTGCAAGAACTTTGTCCTTTAGGTTCGCTAGGACTATATCTATGATATGGAATAACCAAGGATATATCGGTCAACTAGCTACCATGAATAGCGATCATTTGCTGATAAAATCTTGTCCATGGGCGTGGCAGAGTTGGCTGAGTTTCCGCGCGGGAAATACTGTGTTTATAATCCACTGTGTTATAATCGCCGATCCAAGAACGAAATAAATACTTCTTGATTATATATTGTCCATGAAGGTTGGCAGGATTAGTCTGAAAAATACAAAATGAAAAATATATTAGTTTTGTATACTTAAATACATGAGTTCAATTACGTCTGACATACCTTTAAGATCGGCAGAATTCTACAAAATGTTGATTTAAGAATCGACGCAGATTGACAGCAACAAAATTAAAATACGATTTTGTTAAAGGTAACATATATCCATGGCATGAGCATATATCCAAGCTCATTCAGGTCTCAAAATTATTGTCCTTGGCAGATTTAGCTGCAGAATTTAAAAAAGAAAACAAATGAATTAGTATTTTGTAAGCTTTTAATAGTCCGATGACTTCAGTAGAATATACCTTTTGGGGTCCGTGAGTCTTCAAAATCGCCAAAGTCGACAGAGCAGTAAGAAATTTCAGGGCAATTGTTTTACATGTCAATTGATATTTGCGACATGGACGATATTAATCCGAGCAGTTTTCCTTATAATGTTACTCAAAGAGTTTCACTCAAGTGCTCGGCGCACAGCACATGGAGCAAGAAACCCACAAACTGTAGTAATCCCTGTTCAAAGCTAGTTAACGCTCAAGCAAGCATTAGCAGGTATCAAGTGCGAAAACACACACACAAACATGTGTTATCTATGCAGAGAGAGAGAGAGAGAGAGAGAGAATTGCCAAATATATGTACATACATATGTGTGTGCATCGTATGATTGCTTTTGCATACATACATACATATGTATGTATGTATGTGTATATGACTGCCTGTGCATTATCTTCTTGCTCGACGCGCTCTCACCAACTTTTAGCGAATGTGAGGGGATATTTATTATAAAATAAGCACTTTTATCAAATTGTCAAACTAGAATACGATTAATTAATTATTACTTCCGACACGTAAAATATGGCATTTACTTGGCAATTTTCACTAATTATTTCTTTGTTCGACTGCTGCCGTTTAACTGAAGCGAAATCATGTCGCTCGATTGAACGCAGATCAAGGGTAGATAATAAGTAGATGTGACACACACACACACAAACATATGCAGAGAGAATGGCCAAATACATGTACATGCAGGCATATGTGTGTGTATATCGTATGATCAGTTGTGTAGGGAAGTGAGCAGAAAATTATAATAAAACAGACACTTAAACATTTGCGAGTCTATAAAATCGATCTTTCACTATTGTCAAACTTATGAACACGATTCTTTTTATGGCTATTAATACTTCCGACCCGTACAATTCAGATCAAAAGATAACGCATAAGAAATTATACACAAGCATAACTACATACATACATATAGATATATCAATTGCGAGAACACACACAAACATACATATGTATGCAGAGTCTAATCGATGGACTGTTTTAATTTTGATTCCATTTTTGTCAAACTTTGCAAGCGATTTCTTTTATGGTTTTTATATTTCCGACCCGTAAGACAATTTTCACTAACTATTTCTTTTTAAACATCTTTGTTCGACGGCTGCCGCTTAACTAAAGCAAAATCATGTCGCTCGAGTGAACGCAGATCAAGAGTAGATAATAAGTATGTATGTATGTATGTAGATATGAATTGCGAGAACACACACACACACAAACATATGCATGCAGAGTGAATCGCTAAATATATGCATGTGAGTATATCGTATGATTAGTTGTGCATAATCTTCTTTTTCGTCGCGTTACGATTTTTTTGCAAACTCAAGGGAAAAATATAAATATATGAACACTATGTGAAAGTCTATAAAATCGATGGACTTGTTCAAAATTTGATTCTTTGAAAGCGATTTGTTTTAAGGCTATTAATAGTTCCGACCCGTACAAGTCCAAAAACGTATACAATTAGAGATACGGAAAACATTTACTTGAGCATTTTCACTTATAATTTTTGTTAAAACAGATTTAATCGAATGTTGCCTTTCAACTAACACAAAATCAAAGTCGACAAAAGTCGCCGCACAGCAACTCGAGTGAGCGCAGATCAAAAGCAGATAACGCATAAGAAATCATACGCAAGCATGAAAGTACACGCACACACAAACATATGTATGCAGAGAGAATCGATATACATACATATGTGTGTGTATACCGTATGATTGCCTGTGCATTATCTTTTTATTCGTCGCGCTCTCACGAATTTGTTGCGAGGTGCGGAGAAAATTACAATAAAATAAGCACTTATTCAAATTTTGATTCCATTTTATACACAAGCATAAGTAGATATCACTTACCTAAACATATGTTATGTATGCAGGTATAATCGCCAAATAATAGCCTTATCTGCTTACGCATCAGATCCGGGAAGACGTATAAGAAAATAATTACAGGCTTAATGGAATAGCCCGCGGAGCACAACAACATGCCCTATTCACTTATAGGGCCACACTGACTCAGACGAAAGTTGCGCAGCTGCATCAAAGCTGCGCTCAGAGAGCAGAGCGCAGAGAACATTACTGCCGGCAGTTTTTGATTGGACCAATCAGCGATCAGCGCCGTAAAGAATCGTGAGCGCGTGAGCGTAACTAGATAAATGACAGCGAACACACACACGAACTGCTGGCTGCTTATCTCCGGCCTTGACTCATCTCGTGTTTGTGCGGGTGTGCACCATGCTCTAAGCAATGCGACGGATTGTTCACACTCGAATTTCGATCGCCTGCTTAATTTCTGTGCGCCGGTTTTTTTCACTCACAATTTAGCACTCTGTTAGTTTGAGTATAATTGCACTGTTAAACTCAGCTGTTAACGAGCAGTTACAGCTGTTAGCTCGAATGTTAAGCAGCATAGAGTAGCTCTATGTTATTTGAGTACTTGCTGGTACAAATTAAGTTATTATGTATATTATTGATATATATGTAGATTAGTTTTTGTTTGTTTTTTTATTTTTATCATATTTATTTGGATTTTCGCATAGTAATAATAATTTGTTCAATTATTTATAAGTATGGTTTGCTTGATGTTCTTAAATGTGTTTTCTTTTTGTTGTTGTTGTTCAATCATCTTTTGTGTTTGTTTTTATACATTAAAATTTATGCTAAAAGTTAGAAATAAAATCTGTTGAAATGTTTGGTTTTTGTTTTGCTTACGCTTTTGTTGACGCACATATAATTCTATAATAACATTTAAAAACAATACATAAATGTTTAAATATTTATGTGTTGAATTGCGCATTTAATTGCTAGTGAGTGTGTCTGTGTGTGTGTGTGTGATTAAGTGTGCGTGGAATACAATAAATATAAATAAATTGCTCATGAATTATGGCAAATAAATGTTGCAACATTTGAAGCACGCGAAATATTAACGGCTCATTGTTTTGCCCATAAATTGTGAATACTTGCAAATGAATTGGTTTTTGAATGGACTCATAAAATTGTGAACTCATTTGTTTAAGCGAAATGCATTTGGGATTATCTGATTCGATTCAAATGCGACTTAAATAGTTTAAATTATGGGATTTGCTGTCCTAATGAACCGAAAGCATATACAATTAAAAATACTTATATTAATTATTCTCCTTTGTTTTTTTTTTTATGCAAAAACATCTAGAGTTGATGCAATTTATTGCCAAATGTTACAATTTCTCACAACACAATTTTGAGAAGAATTAAACCGAATTTAACTCGTTTTTGTTTTAAGATTGAAAATACAAAAATAAAAAATCAAATGCAAAAATAATAATTAAATGTTGTTGTCTTTGTCTTTGTTGTTGTTGTTGGTGGGTTTTTGAATGGCTTTTGAATTAATTATAAATTCTGTATATATTCAATATTAAAGTGTGTGTGTGTGTGAGAGAGAGAGAGAGAGGGATCTATGTATTTTATTTGATTATATGTTATATATTTATATATTAGTTAAATGCCCGTTTTTGCTGGCCTCAAGCGAGACAAATGTACAAAAAAAAAAAAAAAAAAAAACGTTGACTAGAAAATTAATGAATAATTTAAACGAGTTAGGATTTATTTAATACCAAATGCTTAACATTTCTCTCTGTATTGTGAGCAGTTTTGAGTGTCTTCCTCTTCTCGCTGATATTGTTAATTATCTTTATAATAATATGTATGCATATGTATATTGTTTAAAATTGCTAATAATATTTAGATTATCCAGTGTTTCGTTTCGTTTCGTTTTATAATTAAATAACATAACATTAGTAAATTTAAACTAAAACGCAGTCAATTTTAGATTTTGGAATAGTTTAGAATTATTGAGTTTCTTTTATCGATTAATATTTAAATACGCATAAACTATACATAAATGTATTCGATATGATCGATACCCTTGCAATCGATATATTTTATTTTCGAGGTTGATCACGAATATATATGTGTATATATCTGAAGAAAGGGAGATTCGCGTCGATAACTTATCGAGTTCGGACTACAACATTTCAACAAATCGATAACAAATCGAAATAGAATTTTAGCTGCCTTCGAACTATTTTTATATGCAAGGGTATTTAATCTTCTGTCAAAGTTATATTCACTTTAACTTTTGAGTAAACTTCAATGAACAATGCTAATTAGACTTTTTTTCTGTTTTTTTTTTTTAAATATATTTTTACAGCTATTTAAGATGATTTTGCTTTGAATAAGGGGCAAAAAATGTGTGTCATCGATATATATATATAGATATATATATATAGATATAGATGTTCTCGTTCTGTATATAGGATATGCAACTAAATTCACTTACATTTCGCCAGGCTTTTCGCTTCGAAGTCGAACTTAAAACTCGCTTTGGTTTCGCTTTCGCTTTCGACAACAAATTGTTTTTGGTTCAAAAGTTCGCCTGGTATAACAGATCTTATACTAATACTTTTGTTCCGGTTCCGGTTCCGGTTCTGGTTCCGTTTTCGGTTTCGGTTTCGGTTTCGGTTCCATTGAACGCATTTACGACATGCCCAGCGCATTGTAGCTGGGCAGCTGCTCGTGCTGAGTGGGGCAGCCGCCGTGCTTCTGGATATACGGCCCGTACTGGCAGGTGGGCGTCTTGTAGAGGCCCTGGCGAATGCGCCTAGCAAGCAGAAAGAAGAGCATGGATGGGTTGGGGGAGGGTAATTACGAATAAGCAGGAATTAGAACTCACTTGCGATCGTTGAGGGAGAAGTGCTCGCTGCCGCTCTTGAATAGATTGCAATGATCGTTGCTCGAGGAGCAGTCGCAGCGCCATTTGCCATCCTTGCCTAATATCTTCTCGAACAGGGCTGGACACTCGAAGTGGGGCAAGGTCTGCTGCTCATCCGGCAGCCCTGTGCCAATTGCGTGCCCCTCCGCCAGGCTCGCGCCGCGCTCCACGCAGTGGCATTCGGTGTGATTCACAAGGGTCAACTTCTCGACGCTGATGCGTTTATCAATGTGGTTCATGACCTGAAATGGAAGGGAATTAGAAGTTGGCCCTGTTATTACTTTCTAGCTAATTGGGCTTTAATATGCCTTTAAGTGGCATTCACACACGCACACGAGCTCACACTCAACTTTAGCATAGTTCTCCCTGACCCGGTTAATTTGCATATGGAGATTATTATTCAAAACTTTCTGGGTTCTGTCTGACTGTTCCTTAAGCTGGACTGCTCATCAAAGTTGTCGTCATTGTTATTCTTGTTTCTATAGCTCTTGTAAGTCTAAATGAGTTGTCAGCTGTCAGTTGCCATTTGTGGGTGCCAGAGGCGTAGGCAGGCCCTATTGTAAGGGGGCACAAAGAGTAGATATCTGATATCTCATCCAATCGATCCACAGAGATTCTATTCTTGTTAATCTGTTAAACTTTGAAAGCAACATACAGATGGATAGTCGCAGACCGCCCTTTAAATATATATACACTTTGCAAATCCCCCCTTGGACTAAGCCCCTGGCGACAGGCATTAGGAGACAAGTTGAACGGCTTCTGTTTCGCTTTGTCGTCGGCTGTCAAAGTCGGAGTCTCGTTTGCTGTTGCATGACAAGTGCAAAATGATGAAATGCCATATGAATTGCATAAATTAAGCGGGATTCGTTTAATTAAAATTACAGAGGCCGGTTATTAATCAAGCTAAGTAAATAGCTGCCAGCTGGCTGAGAAACCAGGCAAATTAAGTCCAAAACTGTGCCCAAAATGTTGTTGGCCACAATTTTTAGAGGCTGAAGGCTTTTCGAGCATTGGAATTTGATTGGACGCATCAAAGCAGAAAACTGACAGCTGATCAAAAAGAATAAAAACATGATTTCAAACCTTTTTATGCGCTGATACACACATTTATTTCTATTTTTTATGAAAAAAAAAAAAAACAGAGAAAATTGCATTAAAGTATATTTAATTTTCATTTTATTTGTTATTGCTGGGCGTGCTCAACTTTGGTGGCATGTTTATGCAAATTTTTGGAATGCAACGAATTGAAAAAGTTTTTCATGCTTGACATGTCACATGGCAAACACGCCCACCGCCCACCGCCCACTTTTTTAACAACCAGCATAAAATTTGAGGAAAATTGCAGCAGGCGCACGATTGCATGGGGCAAAAATCCTGCTGAGCTCGCCTGAAGAGCTGCAGCCGAATAATTGCCGGAAACGGAAGTGCAAAGTGCTGCTGTTACTTTCTCCATTCGCCATTCTCCTTACGCCTTACGCCTTTCTCCATTCCCGATTCTTTGTTGTTTGTGTTCGCATTCGAGCTGCCAGCCAAGCACTTCTCAACTTGCGGCAAAGTGGTTGGATCTCAATCCCATGCATGATATATGCCGGGCTTTTGCCTTTACCCCCCCAAGGCAAGCCACGCCTCTAATTGGGCTAAGCCTGTGCCACATATTTTTATATATATATATTTATATATAATATATATGCAAATGCACTTGGCGCTCTCGTGTGTGCAAGAAGTGCGCACTTTGGACTCAAGCAATTAGTCAGTTATTGCTTTGCAGAAGACGTCCCGAGCACCGAAGGACTCGAGTCAGCCAAGGAGAGGAGACCAAGCACCAAGCATCAAGAACCAAGCACCAAGGACTCAAGCCAAGCATGTGAAATGTAGAACAATTTGTAGTGCATTGTATGCATCGTGGGCGTTTAAGCTATTAACACTACTTGACAGTGTTGGGTAAGTGGCAGATTTTGTGCGAGAAACTAGAGAAACTAGAGAAGCTGCAGGTAGAGAGAGGGAGAGAGCGAGCGTGTGAGAGAGGGACACGGAAGAGAGAATTGTTGAAATAACCCGACTTTGCCCGGACTAGCTTTTCTGCTTAATAGAATAGCTATGTTATTACTACAGTGTCGCCAGCTATGTTAATTATAACAGTATGTTAAGTAGATGTTGCTAAAGAAATAAATGTTATAAGAGACAAAGTAAGAGGATGAATGTAACAAGAGGACAGCACGGAAAAAAGTTAAATAAATAAATAATACATGCTACTTTAACTGCTTGTTGAAATATGAAGCAAATTTGAGGCAAAGCACAAACAGAATTTATTAAAATATAAACATTTATTAACATTCATGGACTCAATTTTTAACTGAATTTAACTGGCATTGAACTCTTTTCGGGGTCATTTGACAGTAGCTTTTCTGCACATTTTCATCTTAATACGAGCTCTGCCTTAACCGCCTTCACATGCATCTAATTATGACTCTTGTTGCCCTTTGCTAGACTTTTATGGAGCCGCAGATAAGCAGGTGAAAACCCCTCCCCTCACCACCCCACCCGCCCCTGGAGACCGCTTTGTGGAGGGCTTTTAATTTTCAAATATTTATGATGCGCTTGCTGGGAAAAAGTTTCGACACGAAGATTTATGCACACACACGAGAGTCAAGGGGCAAAAACAAGCTATGAGTAGAACACAGCCACGCCCATTCACGCCCACGCACACTTGGCGAGGCGCAGCGCTTAATTATCCAATAAAAGTTAGGCAAGACCACAGGAATTATGCCGGGGCAATGCGCTCCATGAAAGTCAAGCAATAAGGCAAACGCAGTCAGTTACAGTCGAAGTTTGAATACCCTACATTAACTCCAGATAATGATAGTTAGATGAAGATAAATTGAAGAGGTCGAGAGAGAGAGAGAGAGAAAGAGAGAGAGAGTATAGTAAGGGAGAATATGTGATTCAAATATTTAAACAATAAATAAAATTTAAAATAAATGATTAAAATATTTAAATAATAAATAAAATATGTGATTTAATTGAATAATATCTACAACGTGATTCGATCTTAAGGCATTCTGCTCAGCCGTCTGCTTTTGGTAAATATATGTAGAGCTTCGTCAAGAATGAAAATGAAATAACTTAACTTGCGCTCAGCTTGTCCTCACTTGTGGTCACTTTTTGTGCGACTTTTGGGCCAACAAAGTTTCGAAAATGTTATCTGCCAGCTTAAGCATACAAAAAATAATACTGAAGCGAAAAAAAATAAATAACCGCTTTGCTGCTTGTCTCCATAAAGCACAAAAATATGTGGCCAGGAGAGCAGGCAAAGCACAGGAGTAGGAGCAGCAGTGGGAGCTGGAGTGGAGGCTGGAGCTGGGAGCCAAAGTTTGCGAACACACGAGCCAAAGAGGCAGCTCAGCGGCTGTCATTGAGAGGTGTCAAGTGCCAGGCAAACAGCTTGAGAGCAGCAAGACGATAGACTGAGAGACAGCGAGAGAGACAGAGAGAGAGAGAGAGAGAGGGAGAGAGAGAGAGAGGGAGAGAGCGCCAGAGGAGATGAGCGCGAAGGAGTGCTGCATCAAAAAAACATTCTTACAAAACATAATTTATGTTGCGCAAATTTTGTGCTGGGTTATTCAGGGGGGTGGGGAGCGATGGTGAGAGATGCTGGGGTCGGGGGGAGGGGGCACCGGGAAGTGCAGTCTGCATTGTTGGCCACAGCACACAGAGGAGTGCATTGGCCCCAGCGATCCACGGCAGGCCAGACACGAGGAGAGCTCCGGCCCAGGCACATATTGTAAAGCATGGCGAGATTTATGACGCTTCGCCTCGGTTCTGGGTTCAATGCACCACGGCGAAAGAGATGTCGTGTGAGATGACTTTCACCCGGACCAGGCCAGAAGCTAGAAGAGCCTTCGCATCGTGAAAGCCAACGCCTCCGCCCCCACCCCTTCTCCTCCGCCTGCGCCTGCGCTTGCACCTGGCGCCGATTGCATGTCCATGTCCATGTCGCCCACCTGGCTGGCATTGGCAAAGTAAAAGTCAATTGGCTGACAGGCAAATCGCTGGCCATGTCCAATCTGGTCCGCTGTCCCGTTGTCCTGTTGTGTGCCTCCTGTCTCGGTCGTTTAATTAATTTGCCACAAAATGTGGCTCAAGCTCGCGCGATTCGCTGCAAGGCACATGCATAATCAGCTCTGTGCTCTGTGGGTGGAGCCTGTCGCCGGGCCAAAAGCAAACATTAATTTTGCTTATTAAACAATGAGACGTTAGGGGTGGAGGGGGGAGGGACGGGTGCCTTCCACTTGCCACAGTTGCCACAGTTTCGTGACACATCCGCCGCCAGCTCGAGTCCCAGTTCGAGTCGCAGCTCAGGTGCGCCTTGAATGCAAATTGCCATTGCACGTTAACAGCACTGGTGGGCGGTTATAGTCAGTGGGCGTGGCAGCTACCTAATGTCCAGTGCGTGCGTGTTATGAACAGTTATTGGCAGCGAGGCCAACTTTTCGTTGCCAACTTTATGCCAAATGCCCGACGACAGTTGCAGGTTTCCACCAAATTCTACAACACACACACATTGACAGCTGACTGCACGGAGTGGAGGGAGGGGGGGGGGGGGGATGGGGGGGAGTGGAGCGTTCAGTCAGGTGCACACAGCTCGACTAATTTGGTTTTTCATGCAGGGCTCAGCTGGGGCTTAACTTGGTTAACATGCACTCTGGCTAAAAAAAGTGCGCCAAACTCAATTATTCAGTTTGTTCACATATAAATTTAAATATATATATATGTATACACACATATATTTAAATATAAATATAAATAAAATTTAAATATATATATTTATACACACATATATGTACATGTATTTTATACTATTTTCAACCCTGACATGATTTATAACTCGTGAATTCTAAAAGCTATGTGCACTTAACTTCTCATATAGCTTATTTAATTTTTGAATATATTCTTCATTTCTTCCGATATCAGGAATTTTATCATATTTATTAAAGGTAGAGCTTTGCGCTTTGGTATGCACACATATATCTAGGCCATATTTCAGCTTCAAAAAATTCATCAAGATTGTTTTATAACTACCGAAGTTAGGCAAGAAAGCATTTTCCATAATTATAGGGTATTAAAGAAGAAGAAGCACAGCTTGTGTGTGTGTGTGTGTTTTTGTGTATGCATGCATAGAAGATAGCAAGAATGCTTACAATGACAGCTTGGCCCTGCGTGTAGGGTATCTGACAGTTGGAAAGATAAAAGGTTGTTTTTTTTTTAAGGTATCTATACGTCACACTCTAAGCACTCTAACATGTTTTTTAATGAAAATCGTTATCGGTTGTGCTAGTTGTGTAGGGTATCTTCTAGTCGGATAGCCGCGACTATAGCACTTTCAATGAAAGCTTGTTATGCTGGGTTCTGTAGGGTATCTTAAGGTCCGCCACGCTCACCTATACCAGCCTAATGTGTTTTTAATGAAAAGTCGTTAGGCTGGGTTAGTTTTGCAGGGTATTTAGCAGTACCACATGCTCGATAAAAGTCATTAGGCTGGGTTGGTTTTGCGGCTAACCGAAGTGCTGGCTAACAATGTGCCAGGGTCTATTAACCGAGGCGTGGGTGCAAATACATGAATAGAATAGGATCTGTCATTCATGAACGATCTTTCATTATATTTGCGCTCTCTTTATTATTTTTTCATTATTCTAGTTCGCCCTTTTTTTATTGAATGTTCACTTTTTTATATTTTTAATTTCCTATCGTTGCGCTCGGCTACGACAGCAACAACAACCGAATCGAGGAGCTACATTCATATAGGGCCTAGGCCCTAACTAAACACACACACACACACACAAGCACATACATGGATGTCTCCATATGTGTTTGTAGTCGTGCATGCCCCAAAAGTTGTAACCATTTGTCAAGAGTCGCTGCCGCGCATTGTGCGACTTCTATTCGCCTCTTGCCTTCAGCTGTCTCCCTCGCACTGTCTCTCTCCCTCTCTCTCTCTCTCTCTCTCTCCCTCGATTACAGCCACGTGCTTGTTGTTGCAATTGCTCTGATTGTTGTCGCTGCCACGTTGGGGGCGCAGGTCATGCTTGAGGGCGTCATGTTGCAACATAATTATATCGTTTCACCTTTTCTTTTATACATTTTACTCCAATTTATATATTTTTTTTTAATGTTTGCGCTACGAAATGAGTTTTTAATGACGCAATGATAATTCAATTTGTTGCTGATTTATGCCACATGATTTTGTTGTTGTTGCTGTTGTTGTCTTTGTTACTTTTGTAACGAGCATTCAATATGTTGAAATCGAGAATGTAATTATGCCCGGCTGCTGAATTTCGTTTATGTATTTATTCAGTTTTTCAAGGTGTGTGCCCGAATTATTGTGCCCGCTGGCAACGCTCGGATACAGCATGATTAACATTTTTTAATTACCAATTTAGCAAAGAGGCAGCGTTAAGTGAGCGGATATGCAATTTGTGGCACATATTCAGGTAGTTAAGAGCAAGCATTAAATGTGGCAAAGCTGTGCTTACATTAAATGCTTTTTTTTTTTGCAGTGTGGCAACGCCAAATAAATTAAAATGGGGGCGCCTGTCGATAAGTCGATCTATTAGGCTGGAGCTTAAAATATTTAAATATTTTTATGTAGAAGTTTCTGAAAACGGGCTTGTTCCCAATTTGAATTACAGCTTTTTGTAGTGTGGCAACGCCAACTAAATTGAATAGGCGCCTATCGATATATCGATAAATTAGATTTTGACTATTATATTTTATTATTATACACGCAAAGAAGCTAGAAAAATGTTTGTTCCACATTTGAATGAATGTTTTTTTTTGCAGTTTGGCAACACTGTGTGATGATAAATACATATCGATGTATCGATAACACTGCTGTTTGATTGATTTTGGGCCAAGGAATTTGACTAATTTAAAAGTGATCTATAAAATGAGAAACTTGCTGAAATTTGCTTAAAGATTTAGATAGATAACTTTCTAGTTTTGCTAACTTCCTTTTCCTTTTTGGCTTCCGAAATGCCCACCAATATATCGATATATCGATAACAGCGTCAAGAAATTTAAAATAATTAAAATGCATTTTATGCATAGATCAGCTCTCAAAAAGATTACCTTCAGATTTCGGCTGTTAACTTGCCAACTTTGCTAACTTAGTAATTGTTTAAATTTAATAAATAAATACTATCTACTAAAAACGTAGCAAAGCCAGCAGCTTGTTCAGCTGAAAGGTAAATTAATTTCGTGTACTTACATTGAAATGCCTTTCGAATTTGTGGGTGCGTTTGGGGGCACAGATCTCGTTGCGCTGGGGACAGCAGCCGCTGTCCTCGGCACAGCGATAGACGCTGGTGCAGTGCGGCGAGTAGGTCTTCGATGTCTCCCGCTCGATGCGCAGGCATCTTCGCTGGGGCAAGCGGCAAATATTCTCATCCCTGACCTCCTCCATGTGTGCTCTTGCCTTGGCTGCAAAAGGGAGTTCGAGTGTGATTAGCTTGTTTAGCTGTGCCTCACACCTGCGTCCGTGCTTACCCTTATCCTCGGCCAGCTGGCGCTGTGTGTTGAGCACAGCCTCGGGCGTGCCCAGCTTCTTCTGCTTGTGGGCCGTCAGGGTGCCGGCAATGTGATTTCTCGAGTAACTGTTGTCCGCATCCTGTGTGTGTAAAGAACAAATGAAAATTTGATTAATGCCAGCACAAAAAAGTTGACAAACTTAATTAATCGAGCCGAATGCCAGGCCCAAGTTTCAGCTGTGACATGGCTTAAAAGTGGCCCCTGCTTGCCGCATTACGCATACGCCATGTGCAGCCCACACAAAAGTCATCACTAAATAAAATGGCCATTTGTGCCATGTGATGGCAATTTGTCGCAATATTTATTGTCCAACCAAGCCCGAAGAGGCTGGCGACTGTGTGCGGCCTGGCAGAGATTCAGGTAACGTGCCAGACAAACATCAACTGTCTGGCAGGCAGCAGGAGGTAGGCAGGAGGCAGGCTGGAGGCAGGCTGGAGGCGGTCAATTGCTGCAGAACTTCATAAACTAAGAATTCATGTGTTTTCACAGTCACAACAATTGCTGCAACAATGGCCATAAGTTAGCCTTAGCTATGTGCAGTGCAACGAATATTGTATACACTTCCCTTTCAGTAAAAGCTGATGTATGGCGAAAAGATTACAAATGTCTGAAGAATTTATATAGATTTTAGACTGGGAGATTGTTGGGTTGACTTTGCATGATATGCCTTGACCAGTTGAGAATTATAAGAAAATATTGCACATCAGCTTGAATTTATATCTAACAACTGAAAAAAGCTATCACAAAGTCATGATACCTTTTGCCTTTGTGAGTGGTTTTTATAACAATGCCAGCAAGCAAAACAAATTGGCAGTCCGGGCAATAAATACGAGCAACAGAGCCATTGAGAACAATGCCCGCAGTTGGACGCTGCAGAGAACTCAAAGTAGAACAACAACAACAACAACAACAAGAGGAACATTTTGTTGACCAATGCGCACAATTGGCAATTTGTGAAGTTAAGCGAAATTAATGAGGCAGGCAGAGGGCCAACAGCAGCAGCAGCAGCAGCAGCCGCAGCCGCAGCTTTGCCTCAGCAGCGAACAGTGTTGGTAAACGTGCCAAAGGAGGAGTAGCAGCCACAGCCTCGACCACAGAGGCGTTCAACGTGGTCGAGTGCCAATGAGCCGAATGGCTAAATAAATGTTCAAAGCCAAGAAAATGCCAGAAAATGAACAAAAAATCAACCGCAGCTGAGACTTGGACTTGGACTCAAAATCTTGAGTTCGAGGCGCCGCCGTTCATTAGTTGCACAGGAGTCAGAGGGCGTGAGAGGGGGTGGGGGGGGGGGGGTCAGTCAGAGGAGGGAGGGGAGCTAACATCAAGGTGCTCAAGAGCCATTGGCATAAATCTTCGGCGTCTTGGCATTTTATATGTTCATTTTATGCCCATTTCATTTGACTTAGCAAAGAGCCAAACAAAACAATGGCGCTCAATGATTTTTTTTTTTTTTTAGCGGTTTAACCTTGGGCTTATGAATGCGCCATTGTTTGTACAACACTGCCCTCCCCCAGTCCAACTCCCCACCAGGTCGCCCTGCTCTCCGGGCACCGCAACGTGGCGTTAATGCGCAAATATATGGAATTGTTTTGGCATGAAGTGCCGCGCTCTGCTTTATGGCCAGCTTCATTGACCAATGCCTGGCATTAAGGCCAATTCAATTTGATTAAAACGAACCGCTCGCCCCCCTCTAGGGTCGAGTGGCCGCTCTTAAGCTGACACAAATCGCTTTGTGGCCTTTGGTTACGATTGCCGAGTGCATAAAACATGTCCATAAAATGATGATAATATTGGGAAATTACAAGAATTGTGCGACAAGAGATCAAGAAAGTGCCTGTGTTTACATATAGATTAGGGAATGACAAGCTTATAAAGACTGTTTATGATTTGCTCAAAATATTAAGAGAAAGCTAAAGTCTGTTCTCTCGTCTTTTGATTTGATAAAAAAATAAATAAATAAATATTCGATATTATTGAAGTATTGTAAAGCTAGGTTAAGAACCATATCAATTAATAAGCTAATAAAATAGATTATCCCATTATCCTACATATTTAAAAACTTCTTTTAAGCTATTTTCATTTATGCAGAAGCTTCCACTTAAATCGATAGATTTATATATACGTATTTTACGTATTTTAGTCCATGTCTGCTGTCACATTAAAGTCAAAGAGAGAACTCACAAGTGCTGCACATATCATGATGCGCTTTTAAGTTCCGCCCCCTCTCTCCTCCTCTCTCTCTTTCTCTCATTGGCAATATGCGGCACAAAGGCTGATTAAATTGAGCGGCTCGTTAGTCGCAGCGTGCAGCGTGGAGCCACGTGGCCGGGCTGATAAAGGAGATGCGCCTAACTAAATTTAAACAAGCGAAACACTCACAAGTTGACAGAGAAGGGCTGAGTGTGGAGGGAGGGAGGAGGGGGGGCGGTAGGCGAAGTGCAGGCAATTCTTTGACAAAGGGCTTGTCAGGGGCAGGCAGCTGCTGTTGCTGGCAGTCGACAATGGAGAGTGAACGAAGAGCGGGAAAGGGATAGGGGTTAGTGCAAACACAGCGAGCTGAACTTTGAACCCAGCTGCTCACACCTGGTCATCAGCGGGCGAGTTAGCCTCGATTTGAATTACGGCGCATGCAAATGCATCCCTTGTGTGTGGTAAAGGCATCCGATGGCAGCAGGACAACGGCCAAAAGACGCAGCGGAAGGCAGCAGGTACATGGCGAGGCGCTTTGGTCATTTGGCATTAAACATTCAGAGGCAGCTGATAAAATTTAAAAGCCAGCAATTCTTTAAAGTCTGACGTCGACGTTGAGGCAATCAGGCACTTGGGAAATTTGCGCAGAAGCTGAAACAGCTCATAAATAAACAGCAACTGCCTGCTGGGTGTGTGTGTGTGTGGGCGCCTGGGTGAACGTGTCGTATGTGCAATAATTAAGTTTCAAATGCCAAAGGCACAAAGTGACGTGTGTGTGTAGGTGGTACAAAGGGTCCCGCTGGGCAACAGCAACAACAACAACAATAACAGCAAAAATAATAACATGAGTAATAAAAGCAGGAACAGTGTTCGACAACGAAGTACTTGAAGCTATACCAATTTGTTATTTATCAAGAAGTAGATTCCGAACTAAAACAGTTATAATAAAACCAGCCTTTCCCCAGTAATAAGTTTCATAAACACTTGCTAAAATATAAATAAAGAAAAGAAATTAAACTTCTTAGCTCGGATTCTCAATTCAGTCTCCTTTAACTAACAGCAGCTTTTAACTAGATACTCTATACGCTTTAAGCGCAGCCAACTTAACAGGAGCTGTCAACTCGACAAGCGCAGCCAACTTAACAGACGCCGTTAATTACCGAAGCGCAGCCAACTTAACAGCTGTCCACATATAAAATTGTAATATTTTTTAATGTATTTATAAGTGGTTCTCATTTGTTATTTTCCAACAACTAGATCCTGAATCGAACCATTTATCTTAAGACCAGAAACTCTCTATGCGCTAAGCGCAGCTAACTTAACACGAGCTATCGACTAAACAAGCGCAGCCAACTTAACAGACACTGTTATGAAGCGCAGCCAACTTTACAGCTATTCACTAATAAAATTGTAATAGCAATATACTTATTAATAAATTAACAGATTAAAATTTGTTAAATATTTAATGTATGACTACACAGAACTTTAAATACCTTGCATCAAAAATTCCTCAAAGGGTATAAAAGCAATATATAAAGTTCTGTGGGCATATTTAACTGCCAATGTTGCAGCTTATAAACCATATGTTTTATGAGTGCACAAATCAGAAGCCACAAAGCGCTTTTAAAAGCATTCTGGAAAGTGAAGCCACCCACAGAACCGCATAGATTGCGCCAGGTCTGAGGCGGGTCTCCGGGCCTCTTTAACAAGCAACAATAAATAATACAAATTTATGCGTTACCTCAAAAGGAAAACTTTTTGCTAACAATCAACTTTTGCACAGCAAACTTTTATATATGTCTTTAGCGCTGTCTCCCTCTCTCTCTCTCTCTCTCTCTCTCTATCTCTTTGTCTTTCCCTATTTTTTTATCTCGTTCGAACGGAAGAGAACTGAGTTTAGTGGTAACATCAACTCCATTGCCATTATAAAGTTGAACAAATAAAATTTATATGCATTGCAAAACGCATCAAGCAAACAGGTAACGAGGGATGACCGTCATGCGGGAAGGGGGAGGGGTGGGGTTAGGGGTGCGAGGTCAAAGGCTATTTTATGCACCACATTGCATCTGTGAGTAAACAACAATTACGAGAACAACTTCGACTAGGAATGTGACGAGCATTCTGCATGCAGTTCTTTGTGTACCCTAACTTAAACAAAAAAAAAAAAATAGAGAAATTGGTAAAATAAATAAAGAAATTTAAAGAGAATTAGAGAAATTTGAAAAGGTTTCTTATGTTTAAATACTAGTAATGGAAATCAAGATTTTTTAAAATGTTTAAGCTTTCTCATACAAAGTATGGAAAAGTTTAAATCATTTATCAAGAATTTTCTTCATGATCTCATTGCATTCTAATCTGTATAGTTTCTACACTCTCTTTATTCTATATTCTCGATACTTTTCTTAATCTATATTTTTTATACTCGATACTCTGTATGCTCTTGATACTCCATACTCATAAACTTTATATTCTCACTCAATTTTCTATATATTGTATACTCTTTTTTTTTGCTGCACTTTCGAAATCTTCTATATTCTATACTTTATATTCTCTATACTCTAGAATACTCTATATTTTATCCTATATATTTATATACTCTATAGTCACTGAACTTTATAATCTATACTCTCTATACTTAATACTGTCTACTCTATATTCTACACTCTCTTTACTCGAGCTGTATACACTCCAGATACTCCTTTTATTTTATACATTATTCTCTCTGTATTCTTTATGCTCCATTCTTTCTCAACTAAGTTCTCTCTATACTCGGTACTCTATACTCTACACTGTCTTTATATATATAGTCTTTTATACTCTTTACTCTATAGTTCTCTCTTTCATACTTTACATTCTCAATATCTAAAGTGGAGTAGAGGTTTTATACTA